TATATATATATATATATATATATATATATATATATATATATATATATATATATATATATATATATATATGTGTGTGTGTGTGTGTGTATTTATATATATATATATATATATATATATATATATATATATATATATATATATATGTATATATATATATATATATATGTGTGTGTGTGTGTGTGTGTGTGTGTATTTATATATATATATATATATATATATATATATATATATATATATATATATATATATATATATATATATATATATGAATATAAACACAAAAGCAGTAACGTGTACAAAAGAATGAAAAGGAAAACAGCCATAGTAAGAAATGAAAATAAACAGTGACGTTTCGAATAATAAACTGAAATAGATTATTTTTCGGTTTATTAGCAATGAGCACTATGATCCTTATAATGGTAGTGGCACCATCTTAGCGCTCGGAGGAATCAAGAGAGAAGAGCCTTCAAATTCTGCACTATTTCCGTAGCCTCCCTTCGGCTCTCAGGCGCAGAGGGAGCTGGGTTCAAAGGGCTGGCGTGGCTCGGCTCGGCTCGGGCCTCGTCGTACCTCGACATTCATCCTTATGTTCCCCGACCTCATCACGTGACCTCGAGTCGTCTTGGACCATTATGCAGATGTGTTGAGGCCTGGATGCTGGGAAGGCTCCTCGCCCTCCCACACTCATTATCTGTTATTTGTTATGGCCTGCCAAGTCTCGACGAAGATCATTATTTACAAGCGTCGTGAGGGAGGAAGCCGAAGTCCGCTCATCAGAGCTCCTTGCGAGGGAACCGTACACACCGCGAACCGATTATGTAGGGATTATGGATCTCACTATACACGTCTAATTACCTGCACTCACGCACGCACGCACGTCCACGTTGCATAGGCAGAATTTACAGGCAAATACGTTAATGCAAACACACCAATGTATGTGCACCCCCTACAACACGTACAGGAGCATACATACATGCTCATACAAACATACTCACAAAGACAGGATAGAAAGTGACTACTAATGAAACATGACACAGACACATTCAGGGAACCAGATTATATTTCAGTGGTGGAAAATAACTGAACGTTACATTACTAAGGTTATCAAACTTCATGCTCTAATTGTTAGCATTTTCCTCAGCACACCTGCAGTTGCTTCAGAATGATGATGATAAATCATGTTATACGTGGTCGACTCGGCCATCAGTCTTTTCCCTTCGTTGCTGTAGGTGACACAGTGACGGCGAATGAGCATCAATGCAACCAATACTGTGAACAGGACTTGACGATATTGCGTAGCTCTACGCCGGCCAAAGCTCGCTACAAAGAAATGGTGTGTTTATTTGGGCGATATTTGGGCCTCCGTTTGCCTCAGACGAAATATAAAAGCCTAGTGTTGCCCCACAGCCGTTCACGCCGGCCGTGTCCCGGTGTCGAAAGTGGCATTTTTGCATTGTTCAAAAACTGTCGTATTAGATAATTGAATAAAGCAGAGTTAACATGACATCTAATTGAATTAATTGGAACCCTTAAAAATATAACTAAGGTGAGTATATTGAATGCACGGAATGAAAAGCCTTCTTTTCGGTAGAGAATAGGCTGGAGTCGAGACGCTTTGTTACTGTTCCTTTAATTATCATTACCATTATTTTAGAAGATGAGTTTATAAACAAACCTCATAATTGTTTTCATCTCTCCCTCCCTGCGGCGTGGGAGTATGCGTGCGCCATCCCAGGCTTTCCCATGCATTAAAAACTTCCTGAGGGCGTAAAGGAAATAATTAAAACTGATCCCCACTCGAGAACTATCGTTTTCAGTCATCCCGCGTGGCAGATGAGCTCGTGATCCGTTAAGACCCTGCCTTGTCGTAGGCCTAGGAAAGAGATCCATTGTCACGTGTAGGCCTACTCAAAACCGTGATTAATTTACATGGCATTATCCCCGACCTATTTTATAATGGAGCGCATGGACCACCTACGTTCCGGGAGATTAATTGGGCAGGACCTATTCCAGCGTGTCTGTCTGGACCCGTAGCCGCCCTGGTACAGTTTTCTCGAGGGCGAGCACACGATGGCACAGCGCTCGGGACTGTCCTTCTCTTGACAGCTTGACAAGCTCCCGATCATTCTTAGTCCGTCTCGCGCTCCCTCGTCTCTTCTGATGACGGAAGACAATCATGTTACATCAGGAAGACATATTCCTGATGTTATCGGCGCTCTTATCAAGTCAACGGCTTAACATCAACGTTACTTATGAAGGAAAGCTTATGATGGAAATTGATAGTGTAGATCTACAGCACTCGTGGCCTCAACGTGAAATGTTTCAGGGACTTTTTAAGACCTTCGATCCATAGGCCTATAAAGAGAATTTGATGCCCAGATCACAAGTATTCGTGGAATGCACCGCATGAAATGTATCAGCTAAATTTTCGATCGAAGGCAAACGGTTGGCATCAGCTCAAGTTCTATGAAACTGAAGATGGAAGTCGCAATTGTATTGTGTGCTTATAATATATATGTGTGTGTGTCTGTTTATATGTTCATATATCTAT